AAAGTAAATGACTTCCACTCAAATTGCAGAACAAGAAGAGAAGATACAGCCAATAATAATTTATTAGAAATAGTTTAATTCATAGCTATTAATATTAATAATCTCATACATAATGGAATTGCACCAAACCAAATTTGAGAACATACTTTCAACCATTGTTCATCTGACTGGAACGTCCAATCAAACCAAGCAATCCTGTATACTACGTTTACTGTTTCTGCCATAAAGACACACAATGTGTTATAGTTCAGTGTGTTACACTTCACTTTGACTGCGATTATGAAACACAATAGACTGAACAAGTAATGGTGCAAATAACTGAAATAGAAAAGTTGACGTACTAAAATTACTAAAATTAAAACAAAATAAAAAAATAAAGCTAAATAGAAATATTAAACAACTAATACAAATTAAAAAGCACATAAAATCACTAAACAGAAATAAAATAAGTTGAAGTACTAAAATTACTAAAACTGAATTAAAAAATGAAGCTTAATAGAAATATTTTAACAAAAAAATAAAAATTACGTAAGCACATAATAAAATTAAGAAAAACCTAAACTAAAATCAAAATTGAAAATATAAAAATAAAAGCCATTTCATAATATTAATGAATAAAATAGTATACAAATAATACTAAAATAACACTGAATGCTAAATGCTCACATTCACAAAGCTACATTTGACTTAATAATAACTAATATCTTTAGACAATTTCATCAATTGTTCCGGAAAACGCGGACAGAATCGCAGAATCCAGACAAAATAATGGAATTTACTGTATATATAAATATATATTAATGTCATGGAATTTGCCAAATTTGGGATGAATAAATCAAAAGTACACTCTACAAAATGCTGGGTTATTTTTTCAACCCAATCGCTGGGTGCTGCAAAAAGAAAAAATGACAGATTTCACTTTTACAGTTTTTTCAATTGCTAACAAGCATTTACCAATACTTATGTACTTTTTCTAAACTCTTAACACAGCAACACACCTACATCACACAATTAGCCATATAGTTAATTACCTGGCCACAACCACATTTTGTGAAATAAATACAAACTCTACATTTCAAAATGCTGAATACCTTTTTCTACATATACTAACTCTACGGCCAAAACCGCATTTTGTTAAATAAATACAAACTCTACATTTCAAAATGCTGAATTCCTTTTTCTACATATACTAATTCTATCAAAACACAGTAAACCCGATTCAAAATCGAGTCATTCGGTCAAAACATTAGCACTACTTTTCTATCCAACAAAAACATACAGTCAATCATAGCACAGTGACTGTCAAAATCCTAACAGGTGATGACTTTACAAAAACTGCATTACTTGTCATGTTACAGTTCTACCTGCATATAGACAAAATAAAAATCCATTGTTTTTTGTAATTTAGTTACCTTCAACTGAAACCCATTTTACATTTTTAAGTGTTGAATGTGTTCATTCTTGGCAACATACGGTCTAAAATTGAATGAGTCATTATAGAAAAAAATAGGGTCCCCTATGCAGAAATTCAATTGAATGAAATTGCTTTCCAGTGGGTGGGGGTTGGATGTGGATGGTGCCCCATGGTAGCTGATGCCAGTGATCAACAAAAATTCCAACATGCATGGCCTTTGGTTACTATGCAAGCTTTAATCCGTCACAGAATAAAAAAGTAAAAATGGTAACTGTGGCCTTTTCATCTCACAATTTGGGCTTCTATTCTTGGAATTGTGAGTTTACATCTTGCAATTCAGACTTTATCAGAATTGTGAGATAACTTCACAATTGCACGAAATAAAAGTCAGAACTTTGAGAGAAAAAAAAGTCACAATTACCCTTTACCGTTTATATTCCATGGCAGAAATAAGCTTTCATAGGTTCCACATGTGTAAGGGGAAAAAACAAACATAAAAATGCAAGTCCAGCACACATTCTTACTCCTCTCCCCTACCTCTTCTTCTCCCTTTTTCTAATCAAGCTACTCCTCTCCCTCCTACAACTATTCCTCTTCCTCTCCCAGGCATTATTTTTCTCTCTCTTTGATTCTTTGTGTTGTTCTGCATCAAAAAAAGAAAAAAAGAAAGAAAAAAAACAATTCAAAGAGGTCTTTTTACTCTATGTTGATGCAATGGAAAGAGCATCAACACCTGACTATTCCTCCAACTGAGACTGGAATCAGCTGTTTCTAAATATTTCAGTGATATGTTACTTAAAAATGCTTATCAGTTGTTACAATATTTTATATATATATAGATTTCTTTCAATACTTTTGAGCTGCTGTTGTTGCAGAAGTAGAGGCTTTACACTATATTTAACGTTTGGAACATTAGGTCTTCATTTCTGACATGCTGTGTCTAAGCTTTTGTAAAAAAGATAAGAAAGATCCATGATTTTGGTATGGGGTAAGCTTGTGTGAAAAGAAAATTTAAGCATTTTAGAAACGTGTTAATTGACTGAATATCGTGTGTAAACAACACAAATTGTGTTAATGGTATGGTCACAACAGACGGATGTTGTGCTAATTGTGTATAGAGTTTTGAAAATGTGACTACAGATTGGACAAAGGGATGTTAGCAATTGGAAAAAACTGTAATGCTGATAACCGAAACTTGGCAAATCGTTTAATGCACACCTAGGCCTACTTAAAGAAAAGAAAATAACACATTCATTAGTTTTTCCCCCCTATTAAATCAGCTCAAGGACTCTTACATTCTTACATTTTGCCGCAATAATTTTGTGAAAATCTTCTTTATTAAAATAAATAATCAAAAGTGTACTGGTTAAAAATAAACAAAGGAGAAAGAAGGTTTTTTGTTTGTTTGTTTAACATTTGTTTAGCATTTTAAATGAGTTCACCCTTCAACATTGTCACAGACACAGTCATATCCTAAACAAAATGAACAGTGGAGGGAAACATTCTGGGTGCAGAACAGAATGTGCGAAAGTCCAGAAAAACACTCCAATGGACATTCGCATATACATCTGCACTTTGCACTTTAACTTAGCTGCGCACTATAGACACTCTTGCACACAATGGTCAGTTTGCATACATCCGCACTCAGCAATGTGCGCTAAGGACACTGTTCAAATGCACATTATTGTTTAGTCTGCTCTGAGCCACCTCAATTGTGCACTGGCACTTTATTCTTACACTTCTAACATTTCTTACATCACTACTAGGCCTGTCGCAATAATCAATATATCGACTTATCGCGCAATATATGTACATCACCTCAATCATTTTTGGTGACGCAATATATCGCCCATTATATTTACTTAAAAATGAATGTCACCATGTTTTGTACATTCTTGTACATTCACTTGCGCATGTGTCTTTAGCAGCTTCTCATACATAACTTGGTGTAGTCATGAGGTGCTAGTTCACATTAAAAAAATGTTTCTGCAAAAAAGTTTCATCTACAGATATGGCCTTGTTTTGGGATCTGTGCCTTTGTGCGTACGGACATCTGACTGCTAAGTAGTGATTGTGTTTTTCATCAGTGCACCCTTAATTTACAGAGAAAAGAAGGTCAGGGAAAAATCTGTAGATGGAAAAATCTCCATACAAGTTCTTTGTGCATTTTTCTCTTTTTCTACTCGTTACTTTGCACTTTTTATTAGAAAATGTTTATTTACTATTAATTCAGGTTTTTTAAGGTATCTAATATTTTGATACTTAATTTCCATGATCTAAATATTCTTAAAAATTAAAAGTTTGTTGTAATTTGGAAGTGTGTAGGCCTTCTTGCATTATTATGCTGTTACATTATGATGATATATTCAGTGGCATAAAATGGTCTTTAAAATGACAATAATATTGCTTATCGCAATTATTTCTGGGGCAATATATCGCACAACAAAAAATTGTTATCGTGACAGGCCTAATCACTACCATTTTAAATTTCAACATTCAAACATTCATGTGTATTGCTTTTGTTATGTTTAATGTGCTCTTATGTTTAATTCCTGTTGTCATGAACATGTGCGTATACTTGTTTTGTCAATGGTCCGTTTATGTGGAAGAATGACAATAAAGTTGAGTTCAGTTGAGAAAAGGTCATTTTCATTATAAATGTTTGTTTTCAATCAGGCGGCAGAAATCTTCCACTTAATGGCACATTTTCCATGAATTATCTACATGATTAAAAAAAAAAGATCTTCTTTAAAGTAGCTTCTACACTAGCTTCTCTAATCATTTTGTATTCTGTTTTCTTTTTATTTATTGTACAATTAACAAAAGCAAAAAAGGCCTCTAACACTAGCTTGCTCTATTCTTTTTCTATTCTATCTGTTTTCTTTTTATTTAATATATAATTTAAAAAGCCCTTGCTAAACTAACTGAGACTTGTTATAGCACTTGCGTATCATTGCTCTTTTGTTGATTTTGATTGCTTCTATTGTCCTCATTTGGATAAAAATCCAAAGGCGACTTTTTATCCGAAGTCGCTTTGGATAAAAGTGTCTGCTAAATGACTAAATGTAAATGTAAAGTTTTGCATTTACTGCAATTTTGTGTAAATATCTCAAAATCCCTCAAAAGCTGCTTAACTCAAATGTGAGCAATATATGGCCATCAGGAGTTAAAGGGGGTGTCGCATCTGTCACCTTTTATCACCCCTTAGTGACTTGGAGAAAGTTTTCTGGGATGGTGTTAGGGAATAGAGTACACAAAGGTGACAACACTGATCTTGCATACTGTTCAGCCTAGTGCCACCCCTTATTCTGCTCTCTATATATTATTCTCTATATATATATATTGCTCAGAAAATCAAAACGGCTTGATTGTTGAGACTGTTTAGGTTTTTTGGGGATTAAATTTTTTTTATCACTGTAGGGTGGTTGTGTCCACACACTGTTAAGACATTATATGCAAACACCATGTAAATGTTAACTTTGCATCCGATGTCCCCTTTAAATACGTCCCACTTGAGGAACTAAGTCAGTTTAGGGAAGTCAAATCCTTAAGAAACGCCAAGGAAAAAAAAAGAAATACTACTAACCGATTAAACGTCTTCGTGAGGGGAATCCTGAAGTAAACCGTTCCGGTTTCTTCTGTCCTCGTGCAAGCCACGGCCGACCTGAACGCGATATCGTCGTGAACGGTGGTTTCAGGCAAGTGAACGAAAAATGACAGTCCTAAACAGAGTGTATCGATATTTTATTGTTTTTACTTCAAAATAGCTTTATCATAGGGTCAAATCAAACCAAGCTGTCCCAGTCAAGTTAATTACTGGACAAAATAAAGGCATCTGTTAATTTCCAAATGGCACTATTCAAACATATTCACAAAATACACATTTTGAAGATTAAAGAGAATAAAATTCATCAAATACCATTTAAATAAGCCAGTGAAAGTAAGTTACCGTTAAACTCGTTTGTTGGCGCTCTTGGTGTTGTCAATACGGAAATGGAGGGGGCGTAGTAAGTAATCTTATTCGTACCGTTTCGTAGATTACAGCAAGAATAATCACAGATTTTACTTTAAACAGATAATATTTACTTTCATTTCATTTGTTGTCTATTTTAGGTTCAAAATGACATTTGGAAACTCTGAGGAGTCTGAGTGAAAATGGAGCAGTTATTTAATTTGATTGGTCGTTTGACACGTGCAGTGATATTCTTTCTCTTATTTGATTGGTCGTTTGACACCTGCAGTGATATTCTTTCTCTTATTTGATTGGTCGTTTGACACGTGCAGTGACATACATTATCTTATTTGATTGGTCGTTTGACAACTGCAGTGATATTCTTTCTCGTTTGACACCTGCAGTGATATTCTTTCTCTTATTTGATTGGTCGTTTGACACGTGCAGTGATATTCTTTCTCTTATTTGATTGGTCGTTTGACACGTGCAGTGATATTCTTTCTCTTATTTGATTGGTCGTTTGACACGTGCAGTGATCAGTGTTATCTTATTTGATTGGTCGTTTGACACCTGCAGTGATATTCTTTCTCTTATTTGATTGGTCGTTTGACACGTGCAGATTGGTCATTTGACACATGCAGTGACATACATTCACTTATTTGATTGGTCTTTTGACACCTGTAGTGATATTCTTTCTCTTATTTGATTGGTCGTTTGACACCTGCAGTGATATTCTTTCTCTTATTTGATTGGTCGTTTGACACCTGCAGTGATATATATAGAATAGAACATGATCAATATGAACTTCTAACGTTCAATTTAAATAAATGTAATTGCACAAACTATAGGCTACAATGTCATAAAAAAAATTTTTTTTTTTTTGTGAAATAACTCAAACATATAATGTTTTTCTCTCCCCTGATAAGAATTGTTCTGGACTGCGTTTCACAAAAGCATCAATGGTTTCTTATAATACTTTTGGGAAAAGCAGCCCTGTTTGAATGCAGTGGCAGCAGTGAATGAACGCTCTCTGATTTATTAGTTCTGTCTTGCGGCATTTCTGTGTGTTCAGATGAGCATGAAAATAGTTAGGTTACTCGTCCAATTCAGTACATATTGTATGCATTAAATTTCTTGTTAAATGAACGAAATCACAGGTATAAAAAAAATGAGATACTTTCGATACTCACATAAGTATCAATATATCGATACTTCATTATGGATCAGATCCTCCACGAATTAACCTGGCTTCAACAGAAAATATATTTTAATATATAATAATGTTTTTATCTGATTTGTTTATTCTCTAAAGTGGTGCATTGGGAATAGTAACTGTATTCACTTCTGTAGTTTTGTGACCACGTGAAATGCCATTGTGTTCTTATCAATAGACTTTTGTAATTGTCTCTTTTTACCAACTTTTCTCATTATCCTCTACCTAACAGATAGCCAGACCACTGATCTATAATAGAGAACTTGATTGCTCATAAAAGTGAAGCCACAGACCAATTTCAGTGTTTGCAATCAGTGATGACGTTATTTTGTGGTGTCTGCTGGCAGAAAATGCCAGTTTTAATGTAGCAGTCTATGCAAGCCATGGAATAAAAGAATAAACAAGGTAATTTGAGTTCATATTTCAAAATTCAGACTTTTTCCTTTAAATTCCGAGATTATATCTTTTTTCCCTCAGAATTCACAAACTCGCAATTGTTGAGTTGAATTAAGCTATAAAGTTCGAACTAGGAGATAAACTTGCATTTGCAAGATAAAAAAGTCAGAATTATGAGATAAAATAGGAATAAGTTTATGTAAAATGTTTTAGGTTTAAATAGTATTTCATGCTTTAACTGTAGGGCTAATACAATATGTCCCCTATGTGAATATTATATAGACCTATTGTTTAAATCTAATTTATGCTTTAAAAGTAGGGAAATCATAGCTGGTTTCATCCATAGTTTGTCCGTTTAAACGTCTGCGTTTAGCTTCAAATGGCGTCTTTGACGACAGTATTATATAAAAATTATTTGCATTCCGATTCTCGAATCCAAAGGCACAACAATACATTTTTTCTCTTATTCCATGGAGTTTACCCGTTTCCCTCCATTTGTTACCAGTGTTTTTCTGCCACCACAATGCGCGCGCAGCTGCAGGTGACGTAACTGTGACGTCTACTCCAGCTTGGTATTGAATTAATAGGAAATCGTACGAATTTAATGAGAAAACATCGCCTAACGAGTCAGTATTTTTATATCTGAAGTATCCCTGTACATTCTTTCAATGCAAATGTCCCATGTAAGTGGTTATTTTTTTAATATTGGGAATTAAAAAGTTGCCTAAAAATAATAGTAAAAAAATTATGCGTATTAAAAAGTTACGTATTATATTCATTACAGTAGCGTACAACAGATGAACATGATAAACAGGGATGAGATCCTCAGCATATGCATTTCAAATGACAAAGTGCTCACGGAATCTGAATAAAGATTTATGCTTTGTTTTCATGCATTAATTCGCCTTGTACAGTTATTCACTGTTTATGTAATTTTGTTATAGTGTTTTTATTCGTACAGTAGGCTAACTGCAAATGTTTCAACAGTGATTTTGTTTACAGCATGCATCTTGAAGCAGTTAATGATTTAAACGTTGGATAAATTAATAATTAATTCAACATACTTCTATGGAAACTGTAATGCTAGTAAAATGCTAGTCTGAATTAGATGTTGCTCCATCAGGATATAAAAAATAACACTGACTAGCTACATACGGTACAGACTTAAAGACATAAAGCTTTATTTCCAAGATGATGCATGGTAAGCTTTGAATTTCAATAGAGGCTTGTATTGTAATATGTATTGTATATCTGCGTCAATTTATGATAGGCTACTAATTCCAGATATATATTCATTTTTAATATTTCCTGCATAATTATATTGGCTCAGTTACCAGTGTCGGCAAGTGTGCAGCAGACCCACCCACCTAATCGATTTTAATATATCGCTTACCCCGCCTGAAAATACCATAAACATTGCAGATAACATCTGAAGTAAGAAATAATTTACATACACATAAAAACTAATCCTGTGTGACTGACACGCTTTAAATCGGGTGAGTTTAGGTCAGTGTTTTGGCTGTCAGTCAATGATGCTCTCTGCCGGTAAGGAATAGTAAGATGGCTGCTCGAACACTTCCGGTGGCTTCACCGCCTGACGACAGTTTAGGGCCCAATGAGCGATCCAGTCATTATATAGATCAGTGAGTCAGACCCAATGTCCTTCTCTTTGCCCAGCAAGGTCTTTACCCATGTGTGACCTGCATTACTGCAAAGCAGATACAACCTTGTATAGGTTTTACAGAGGGGCATGCAATTACTTTTTGAATTGACATTGGTTATATCACAACTCAAACGATTCACTTTGGCCAGCCTTGATTGTCTTTTAGAGTTATAGCAATGGCTAAACTACCCACTCTGCCTGCAATCCAAATTTCCTCTATGGGATAATAAATTTGACTTGATTTGACTCTACTCTTTTTAGGACTGTCCTCTCATAAAAACAATAATGCCAATATGGGACTATGGTAAAGTGAAATGTATGTTTGTGAGTGACCTTGAACTTGACCGATGGTTGGTACTTCCTAATGTTCACCATTATTATTTATTTATTGTAATTGTTTTATTTTAATTTTTTTGTCAAATTCTCGGATGATAAATCAACAAAAAGAACAACTAATATAAAAAAGTAATCGTAATCATTATTTCCTAACTGAATTTATAGAAGGTGATGGTTGTAAATATGTTTGTCATTCAGTTTGATGTGTTTAGTAAAGTAGATTTTCTTTTCTTTGCGTGATAAGTGATATCATAATAAGATTGGATTGATAACTGATGCTATTTGTGGGAAAGGATCATTTTACGTTACTGTTTCAGCACAGCTCATATGCGATCAATAAGCCTCATTGATTTGTGTTTATTGGGTTAAATGTTAAATTGAAACCTGACCTCTGGGACTGTAATTTTTCATTTGTTTCAGGGCTCAAGATAGACACTCGGCTGCGTAAAAACACAACAAAATGGCTCAATGCATATGATTCTGACCAGTGATGGCATCAGTGCTTTTAGAGGTATTTTTAGATTAGCTGTAACTTCTGCCGCCTTTTGTATTATGCTATATACAGTAAATGTAGATATATGAAATCTGTAAAAGTCCACCAGCATTGTGAAGAATAGAGAATGAACCTAATGAGAAGACATTAACAAAGGCCTATTAAAATTCTACTCTAAGGAATAGGCTGTTAGATTTCATTTCATTCATTTCTGAACATTTGGACTGCACAATGCTCATTCTCCTGAACACATTTTAATCACGACACTGATCAGGCTTAGATGTATGTGTGCACAATGTGAGACATAACTTTTAGTGGGCTATAGCTAATAAAATCACATCCCTATAGACGACTAAAGGAGTGCAGTGCAGCAAGATTTCTCAAAAAAATGGTCTTTTAATTTCTTCACATGGCTTAACACACTCTTTGGGAAAAAAAATGCGCTAAATGTTAGTTAAGTTAAATGTATGGAAGTCAAATGTATGTGGGTCAAAGACGTTAAGATGTCCGCATCAAAAGAAATTTACAAAAGTGATTTTATGTCCATAGAGAGCACATTAAATGCAAGTAAAGTGTCTACATTTAAGGTTTCAAATATGTTTTTGAAAAGTAAAATGTCAAAATTTGGTTGAAATAATGTTCCATTGTCATTCAGTGTAACACTTATAGTTATGTAACAATTCAAACAACATGCTTATTTTGACCTGTACATATTAAAATATATAAAAGAATGAGTGAGCATATTAAATTTTATTGGGTTTTAAATGAGTAAGAAATTATTACTGACCAATGGGCAAAACCTAGGATAGTGGCAAATTAAAAAAAATGTAAAAATAACAACTAATTAGTATTTGGGGTGAAAGTAATTAGTTTTTTAATGTGTCATAAATTTATTTTTGTTGTAAATATGCCTGACAAGATTGTTACACTGAATGACATTTTAGTGGGTGTCTTCTGTAAATCAGGGGAAAATGTATGATATTTATTTTTTGCTCAGAAAAACAAAAATACAATTATATTAAGCAGAAAACTTTTTAATTATTATTATTATTATTATTTTAAAACAACAACAATTTAAAGCAGTATTGTTTTTATGTTTAAACCCTTTTTCGTCTTTGACCCATGGATGTCTCTTTCCACTGTGGAATAAAAAAAATAAATAAAGATAATTGCAATTTTTTTATCTAACAATTCAGACCTTTTTTCTCGCAAATATATATGTTTTTTAAATTCCATGGCAGGAACAGAATATTGAGATGTAAAATTCAAGTTTCTCACAGTTCTGAGTTCATATCTCTGTCACAATTCTGACATTCTTTCTCAGAATTGTGAGTTTACATCTCGTAATTCTAAATTCTTTTCTGGAACAAAAACAGAATGGCGAGATGTAAACTCAGAATTCAGAGAAAGTCAGTCAGAATTCTGAGATGTAAACTTGAAATGATGAGAAAAATTACAATTCTAACTTTGTTTTTCTGAATTCTGTTTTTTATTTCTTTTTGTTTCCAAGGAATAAAACATGTTAAAAAAGGTAATTGCGACTTTATATCTCACAGTTGCAAGTTTATATCTTACAATTGCATGTTTATTTCTTGCATCTTGCTTCCATATGTTTGTACACTTTTTAAAAAGAATTTCAAGAGGTTGTAAAGAGATTTTCAATTATGAGAATTGTAGTATTATACTCCCATGAGCTACTTTATTCAGCGCTTGAATACATTTTTACAGACTATACAGCTTTACAGACTCTACTGTCACAGTATCAGTGGCATTTGTTATAGCTGAAGTGTTTGTGAGTTCCAAACCTGCAATGCAGCATGAATACATTGTGTGGTTATACTGTTATAGGATTATTGTTTTGCTGTTTGCTGACTTTATTCATACGTTTGTTTTTGTTTTTATTACTATTGTTAGTTACTTCTTTTTTTTTTTGATGTTTGCATTTGTTAATTGTCACCGTTCTGAGGTTTGCGTCAAGCACTAAATATAATCCAGATATATTTGCTTTGTAAGATGATTGCTTCAGAAACAAAGATTGTGAAGTGTCTTATAAAACTACATAGATGGCTACCAAAATGATGTTGTGTTAGTAATTGAAAATTAGCTGAACAAATCTGTGTAGTTCTTATTGCCTGAATGAGGCATTTTGCATTTAGTGAACGAGCAAATCGAACAAAACAAAGTAGTGTTATTGAGGACAGTTAAGTTATTAAGAGAATAGAGTGAACTTAAAAATCTGAATGCATCATTTTGCCGTGAATTTTCATCTTTTCTCAACAATCACTTTTTACATTTTACAAGTTGCTGGTGTTAAAATATTGCAATGTTGTGAACTTTATTGGACAGGATTCATAAACTGTTGATAAACTGTATAAAATGATTATCAATATCTGATTAATATTGGTGGATGAATTAAAGGTTGCAAACTATTGGAGTTGAAGTTTTAAAAGTAACATTTATTTCTATATTTATTTTCTTATCTACTGTACTTTTTTATTGCAAATGTTTTTATGTGTGTGTGTGTGTGTGTGTGTGTGTGTGTGTGTGTGTGTGTAACATGTCCATTCGAGCATCATTAACAAATGTGAAAATATTAAAAATAGCACAGCACTTTGATGTTTTTCATGCATGGGCCTTTTTCCTGATGTGCTCTATAAAAGAGTCTAAATTAGATTTGTGTTTATGGAAAAGTGAAAGCAGTGAGCTACATATGGCACATTATCATATTGAGCTACTATGGCCTTTTTTCTTTTCTATGGGACGTTTATTTTCCTTGTACGTGACAATGTTGTTTAATTTCAGTGCACTCTAAGGCCACTTTATAAGGAAAACTGGAAATTCGCCCATGTGTGCCTACTTAAAATTCATTGTGCGTTTTTCATCTATATTATCTGTCTGTTTATTACCGCTCAGACAAAATTCCAGAGTAAATTAACATGATCGATCGTGGCACAGAACACTATTGTCAAGAGAAAAATTGAAAATCTAATATGTATGCGGCTTTCCAGAGGGACTTTGAAAATGGTATTTAAAATAGACTGTAAAAAGGAATAGGAACGTTTGTGTTGGTTTGCAATTAAAAAACGACATATTTAGACGTATCACGCAAGATTTAACATCATCTCATGTGTCTCCTGATTGTGACGTTGCAACTTGGATAAACATGACCACAAATGACATTTAAGAGCTATGGCAGAGGGGAAGGTTATGATTAAATAATGACTTAAAAATATCAAAGTCTTAAGAAATAAAAAAGGGTATTGTATGGCATTAAAATATAGCAAGTTGTATGAACTGCTGTAATTAATTTTATGCTGCCTTTTTTGAAGCTCAGCTTCGCTTTTGTCGTGTCGCAAGCGGAAGCTCAGACATTCTGCTTTTGTGTTTCATAAAAGAACAAACAACATGGGTGAGTAAATAAGAATGAATCTATTTAATATTTGGTTGTTAACTGATGTCTTAATGTATAATATTTGTAGAGAAGTGTGAGAATAGTGTTTACATCATCTCTCTCATTAGAATCACTTTGTGCAGATGCGGATGTATTCATCAGCAGGTTGCAGTTCTTGCGCGCTTATGCAGCGTTTCAGCAGGATCCAATCGGGCAGGTAGCACTCCTCGTTCCTGCTCCCCCCAGAGTCCCGTCAGCAACACTGGCACGGGAGAACTCCCACAGATGGGACACATGCTCACTGAAGACTGCCGAAAGTTTTAAGGCTGGGAAATGAGTGAAATGGCAGAACCAGCAACTATAACCAGACCCCTGATATCCTCCAAGCGACACAAGAGCATAAGGAAGAATTCCAGAAGAATTTATTCCCCATATCAGGATGATAATGTGTAAGTCAGCTTTTCGACCAAATCTATATATTTTTTTTTTTTTACTCTAGGTTACATTGGCTAATTTCACACCTGACACTTGTGTGGACTATAGCATTCAGTCTCTTAGGTATGTTATTTATTTATTTATTATTAGGAATGTGTATCCTTTATAGCAGAACAAAGCATTATATTCCTTTTAAAAGGAAAGCTTCTTAACTTGTGGATTGCAAATAAACTATGTTTAGTTTCTAAACTATATTTATAGAAATTTATATTTTCAAAAAATGTATATAATTCTTGAAGAATTTGTATATCATGTTTTCATAATTTTTGAGTCTGATTTCTATACGAGGTATTAAAATGATAAACATCCTTGTCTTTTGCTCATGTACAGTATGTGGATCTGTTGCTTTATATACACAGTCCACATTGCCTTACATAAATACAGTATGATTTTTGCGGGACCCACTTTGCATTTAACAAGTTTCATAAGCAAACTAGAGAACAGAAAGTGACTTCGGTCATCATTTATCATTTTTTTTTATGTACATCTAGATACAATATAACAGGTTATATATACAGTTTTAGGGTTCCGAATCCAGATCACCTTCATGCTCAAAAGTGTGTCTACAGATTTTGCAACATACCAATAATTTGCCTCATAATTAATATAACATTTTTTTGTTTTGTAACATATTTATTTATCATATTTTATTTTTCATAGTTATAATATTTAATTATTATATTGTTATTATAAAAATATATATATATATAAAAAAGGAATTTATGCACATATGTGACCCTGGACCACAAAACCAGTCATAAGGGTCAATTTTTTTAAAATTGAGATTTATACATCATCTGAAAGCTGAATAAATAAGCTTTCCATTGATGTAGGAAAATATTTGGCCAAGATACAACTATTTGAAAATCTGGAATCTGAGGGTGCAAAAAAAATCTAAATATTGAGAAAATCTAAGGCCTTGAAGTCCTTAGCAATTCATATTACTAATGATAATACATTTTTTATATATCTACGGTAGGAAATTTACAAAAAATCTTCATGGAACACAATCTTTACTTAATGTCCTAATGATTTTTGGCATAAAAGAAAAATCGATAATTTTGACCCATACAATGTATTGTTGGCTATTGCTACAAATATACCTTATGACTGGTTTTGTGGTTCAGGGTCACATATGTATAAATCAACAATGTTTTGTTCCATGCTGCCCAAATAAAAGTCTAAAGTTACTACATTACTGTAAGATTAATTGCAGTGATTATTGATCTTTGGTTGTGTTTCAGACCATCTGATGATGAGGATAAGGATGAAGAAAGAGTGGACAGTAATGATCCAGAGGAGTTGTTCCAGAACATTCAGGTTCAGAAGGAAATCATCGCCAACATCCGAACTAAACCCTGGCCAATAAGACGCAAACTAAAAGTGCTCAAGTAAGACCCCACCAAGTGTATGTTAGGGAAATGCCATCAGAACTTCTGCACATTCTGTACTGAAATTATTGCAGATCATAAAATTGAATAGTTCTCTAGTGGAACAGTTTAAATAGCATGAGATAAAAAGAATAAAGGATTTATAAGTTCAGCATTCATAAGACCAAAATGTGAGCGTAGAATGTGCAAGTAAATGTGCTGTAAAGGTATTTTTGATCTGATGCCAGTGTTTGTACAGCAGTTGACGTGGTTATTAGTGAGTTAGATTTATTACATAAATAGGAAGAATGAAAAGAAATGATTATTTGACCCCATTACGGCCATTAGCCTACTTAGAAACGACATTCGAAAATGTTTGAAACTGATGATAATGGCTTAGGAAAGCATCCTCGCATTAAACCCGTAAGGTAAATAACAATTAACTTTCAGTGCATATTTACAACATGAAGCTTGGAGAACAAACTAAATTGGCTGAGTAATTGTTTCATTAGCCTGGCCAGCAGTTTCTCATTTTACTGGGTAGCGATCGCTGCGGCTTCTTTGGGCGTTTGACAAGGATGCACAAATGTACCCGCTGTGAATGACCGGGGTTACGTCAAGATCACGTTGTGGTTTTATTCTGGTACAGTGTACAAGCAAACATTTTGGATTTATGCAACCGGCATAGCACTCCCAAAATACTGTGAATACAATACAGCTACATATTTCTTTTCATATTTTTTTTCGCCATTTTTAATAAACTTTTTGCCTTCTCTTTTCAAGTGAACCTCTTCTGTGACAAATTAAACATTTAAAATACATCTATATTTAATATAATTTT